CATCACAGACTCTCTCAGCTCACATTTCTGCTGCAATAGTCCAGTTCATGGGCAAAAGTCATGTTCTGAAGGCACACGCTGTGTTTGCCAAGGAGGTGACTTCTGACTGGCAGCCAAGGGACATTCAGAGTGTGCACTATAGGGTATCTTTAAAAGTACTTCCAAGAATTATCTAGGTGTGATACACAGGAGTAGTGCTTACAATTATTACCAGAAAGAGAAGGATTTACAGAAATATAAGAAACATGTATAAAAGCAAATCTACTGATCTAGTGAATTCTGTTACAGAGGTTGAATGGTAGAGCAACTTTTTGGGATTTATTCAATAGCCATGCCTTAGTATATGGTTCTGCTGCACCAGGAAAACAGAATCTTTTGCAGATGTGTCTGAGGGGCAGGGAGTTGTTTTCTACTGGGACTGGGAGAGAAAGGTAAATGGGATGGTTTTGCCACAGCCTTGTCCCATCACAACAAATACCTGTCTGCATGGGCTGAAACATTCACCTTGCAGCTGAACCCATCTCTGGAAGTCCTGCTCCATGTCAGTGACAGTTTATTCCCTCTCTGCTAGGGTAAGGAGAGCTGGAAATTATCTTCATTTTCCCAGAGTCAGTAAGCTATGAGAAGTCATAGATCTCATTTCAATCCCAGGTAGAGGCATGCCCACCCGTGGGGCCCTTGCTGACTGTGATTCCAAGTTCCACCCTGCTGATCGCTGTGGTGGAACTTGTCTGGAGCAAAAAATAAATGTTGTGCTGCAAGACCTGTTGCAACAAATTCATCCAGGACTCTGAGAGCCCTGTACCAGCTGCCATCCTGCTGAGGAAGATGATGGAGGCAGCCACACCCATTCTTGCAAAGCATATCTATGTAAGACATTGAAACTTGATTTTTTGCTGCCTTTTCTTCTTGACATCTTTGCTGCAGCTGCCAATGGGGTATCAGTGCACATGGCCTGTATCCATCTGCCCATGCTGCCCCTGAGAAGATTTTGGCAATGTTGAGTCTTGCCTAAAAGCAAGCAAGCAAACAGAAAAGTGCTTGTCAAAGTTGCTAGCTGTGTCACTCAAAGTGGGAAATGTGTCCACTTTCACAGAGGTGATTAAAACCCAACCCTTTCCACACCCTGATCCATGACTGGCAGTAAAGCCTTGTCCCAAACAGTCTCCTACACAAAAGAGTTTAAGAGAAGCTGGGTTTTGGGGAACACACCCTGAAAGAAGTTGAAAACCCAAACGAAAACTGCTGATAGGATTATTTTTTGAACCGGACATGCAAGACTTCCTGAGGCTCTAATTATGCAGGATTAAAAAAAAAAAAAAAAGCAGCACTATTTAACTAAAGCAGACATGAATAACTGTAGTTCCCCAAATGTGATGTACATGACATCTTTCTCTCCCTGGACACAGACACAGCTCCCTGAGTCACACAGCCCATTTCTTCCTTACTGAAAGGACTTCTCATAGTTTTGTATCTGAACAAAAGAAGAAAAATCCTTCGAAGTCTCAGACATGTTGGCTAGTGACCTGGTTTATTAAAATGCAGTATTTTATTCCAGTATCTCTGCTCTGGGTTGAACTTGCTGCTCTCTCCCACGCTGCACACTGCAGCCTGTCTCCCCAGGTACCCACCTTCCTCCCACACACAGGACAGGACCCTCTCTCAAGTGTAATTTCTTCAGGTACCACAGCTCAGGCGCTCTTTGTTTTGCCATTTCTGCTACTCATCTTGGGCTAACTACAGGTGCAGAGTAAAGTCCCCATGTCCCCAAACCTGAGCACAGATGGTCACTCAGACCCTGTTCATAGGGACCAGCTTTGCTGAGCCTACATCTTACATTCATCTTCTGACAAAGTTTGCCAGTGGCCAGAGAAGTTGCTACCATTTTTAATGGTGATAAATAAGATCCTCAGCATTCAAGGAGATGAAATTCAGTACCCAACTATGAGCAAATGACCAAAAAGTAGATAACATAAGAAGAAAAGCCTTAAAGTGCTCTTTTTCAAACATATGCACTCAAAAAAACCCCAATTTTTACTTGAGACTTTATTATTTAGTCCAGCCATAGCTAACTCATGGATCTGACTCAACAGAGTGTATTTTACTAAGTACTTTTTGGATGTCCCTCAGAAACTGATTGTGTGACCTCCCCCCAGCCATTCACACCACAGTGCTGTCACATCAGATAGTCACTCATCAAAACATAATCTTGTTCCACTTAGAGAAATTAGTGTAAATCAGCATTTTCCCTTAAAGCATGTGTGACAGAAACATGATGTACAAGTGCTCTCTCTGAAACACTCACTTCCCTTCCCAGGATTTTCCAGGTCAATGACATTAGTTCTGGGTTGCTCTTATCTTGGCCAAATCCCTGTAAACAGCTCCTGATTCCAAGAAAGTGACCCATGTGTACGATGTCTTCTGAGTTCCTGTTTCTTTCCTGGTGCTGCAGGTGGGCTGCAAGCCCCCAGGCCATCAGAGCAGTACAGATGTCCCTTACCTGCAGCCACCACACACATCACTGCTGGTGCCCTCTGGAGTCTCAGCACCATCTGATGATGGCTTTTTCCAGACTGCCCAGTTCCTCCTCTCAGTGCTCTGCAGAGGCTGACTGAGCTCTGGGTTTGCTAAACAAAACTGCTGGTCCGAGATGATCTGCTGTGACTTCAGCTCATCCTCTGCCACTGCCCAGGGTGCACAGCAGCTGCTCTTCTGCCCAGGTACACCCTAGACCAAGTCAGGACCTGGACCTTGTCCAGCTGTCCCACAGTGCAAGCAGACACAAAACACATGGAGAACGTAATTCATGGATTTATTTTGAGTTTCATGAGCTTGCCTTACAACAGCTGTATTTAATATCATCAGCTCCTGGTGCTGGCTGTCCAGCCAGGATAACATTGCTGTTTAACCACATTGGGAGGGCTGCACTGCCCATGACTTTGCAGTGCAGCTGGTACTGAGTGGTTTTGGGGCAAGCTGTGGGATTCCTTGCAGCCCTTACCCATGGGGTTTCAGCAGTGAGAGCTCAGACCCCAGGGTGACTGACCACCCTGTCCCTCAGTGGGGCACCCTTTGTATCTCTGCCTTCTCTCAGTGTTCCTCTGGTCACATCAGACCTCTTGGATGAGGAGCACTGCAGGTCATTCCAGGTGGCCATATTCGCCCTTCAGTGGCCACAGCAGTCAGGCTGAGCTCAGTTGGATGGGCTGTGCTCCAGCACCTGCAGCGTTTCCTTCCCGCCTCCTCTGACCCCACACATGCAGAAACACTCACACCTATTTTCTCCACATCTGCAATAAGCTGCATGTACATGTTGGCAGTTTTCTCCATGACAGCACCAGTAGCTGCCATGTATTCCCATTTCGTTCAGAAATCAAGATGTCCCAGCCCTTGATTTTTAAGTACATTCTTAACAAAGAGAAATAGAACTTGTAGCACAGGAGAAACTATAAGGTCACTGATAAGTGCCTGGACAGTGTGCCTGGTAGTTTGTGCATTCTGATTAACTTTTTAGTCATTAATTCCTATAATTTCCATTAGACCTCTGGCTCTCAGCCCTGGGTGAGCAGCACAGTGTTCCACATTTATTTCTGTGTTGCATACAAAGAAGTACTCTTCCTTGCCCTTTGAAAGTGCTACCAGATAATTATCACTAATTTCTGCATCCTTTTCAGAGAAACTGAAACAAATAGCCCCTTCACCTTTTCAGCCCTGACCCCCATAGGCACTCTGCTCATTTGTTTCTTCTTTTTCCAAGAGATGGTTTGCACAGATGTGGTTTTGTACTGATAATTATTCTTTACAATGTTTCTCAGTAACTTTTCTTGCTCTGCTAAACCCAAGATGAGGCCAACATGCACACATAAGGTAGCAACATTCCATGGGCTTTACAGTACCACAGTCATGTTTTTTGACTGGAATATCTTTCCATGAGCACCTTGCACTCCCTATGAATTCTGGTGAGTTTTGAGCTGATGCTCAGAGACCTGCAGAGGCAGAGCTGTCCTGAGTGTGAGCAGCACAGCTGGGGGCCCATTAATCCTGTGCCTATGATACCAGTGTCTTGCTCATCTCTTGGGTCACTCCCTCTGTTTTACATCTGCCTGCATGGCCTTTAGTGGGATACAGAGGATTGCCCTGTTCATTATAAAAAGGTCCCTCCATAACTCTGCTTAATGGATTTACTCAGGCCAGTAGAAATTATTCATAACTTACTCTTCAGGCCTTTTAAGCTGGGAGGAAAGTACTTCTTGAGTATCTAGTGAGGGGCTGTGAGTGGCTTGCTGGCATTCCAAAATGAGCCAGTTGTGCAGAAATGCACACCAGAAAATATATGAGGCATGTGTAAACAATCCTACCCCAAACTTATGGAAAAGTACCTAATTCCTTTTAAATATCCATCATTCATGTGAAGAGAGGATAGAGATCACAAGCTCAGAAAGAATGTGCCGGGTTGCAGTACCAGAAGCAGCCAGAGCTGTGGCCAGTGTACCCAGACCTTGCTGCAGTGCTGTGGAGAGGGATGAAGGGCACCACAAGGACAGCAGGGGACATTTCTGCTTCCTCTAGTGTGGCAGGTTCCTGAGTTTCTCTTGGCTTTAATCTGCCTTTCAGTGTTTCTGTAAAATCTCTCTTAAATCTGTGCAGCATCAGGTGGGCAGGAGAGGAGCCATCGATGCCCAAGTCAACCACATCCTGCCCTGCTCACCCACAGGGATGGGGATGCTGAGCAGCCCTCCGTGCTGGCTCTCCTCCCACCACACAAAGGAAACACTGGTTCTTTTGGCCAGATAAAGCAGTAAGTTCAGTGCACTGCTCCTAGCCTGGGACCTGCCTGCTGCAGCATTCAAAGGGCTTTCTTGGATAGAGGTGGTGAAAGGGAATCAAGGAAAACAAAATCAGAAATTCTACACAGCAGTCTGTAACTGAAGTTCCTGCATTTTCACTGCAGGGACTGTCAAGAGAGAGCAACCACTGCTTGTCCAACCCAGGGTCAAAAAGGAAAATAAATATGTATTTTGTCTGGGTAAAGGTGCTCCTCAGGACTGGTATCCGCAGAGCATTGTTGGTTTTCAGGAAGTGTCCCCTACTTCATACTCAGACTCCTGGGGGTTTGCAACAGAGTCAGACACATTATTTACTTCTTCAGGGACTTTGTTTTCTCCAAGCTCTATCACATAGCTGTTTTCAGTGGCAGAGATGGGTTCCTCATAATGACCTGTGCTTGAAGAAGCTGCTGCTTTCATGTTATGGCTGAAATAATAATAATAAAAAAAGAATAGCAACTAGAGTAAACAAAACATCTCCAACCATCAGAATTTTGACAGTATTATGGTCTGACTCAAACCCATGTAAACTTGGGCCACTGGACTATGACAATATTCTGAAGGAGAGGATTTTGTCCTTTGCCTTCTGGTGGCAGAAAAACCTTGGGCATTGTAGCAGCATCACTTCCAGCCCTGAGGAATTTTCCAGGGAGAGGCAGCAAAGGGCATACAAGCAATTAAAAGATTACCACAATTTCTTGCACTGGCACAGTGAGATAAGTGCTGAAGAGAAATATTTATAAAAAGTATTGGAGGAAGGGTAAATTGAGAACTGAAAGCAGTCCACATCCACTGTCTGGCTTATGGTATCTAATATTTTTTAAAGGAAGATAGGTCCTCTGAAGACAAATGTCATCATAGCATTTGTTCCCTTGCTCAAGAGTTCAAATGTTACTTAAACTGCTGCCTTACACAGTGCTGGGGAAGCCTAGCACTGGGATGCTGGCACATCCCACTGCAATACTCAAGTCAGCAGCACTTTGCACCTAGAGAAGTGGCTCTCCTATGTTTTGACCAGATTATCAGGCTTTCCAGTAAAACTTCCACAAGTTACAGTTAGATCAGGATGTGAAACCTGAGTTTAGAAATAGCTATAACTTCCTTCCTAGCTATGGTTAGAAGCAAATTCAGCCAGGGATGTTTTGAGGATAAATCAGAGTATAATTAATGGTCTCTAGAAGGGGAGTTCCTTCCCTTTGCACTTGAAGAAACACTGGGAATTTAGCCTATAAAAAACACAGAGAATTTAGCCTTGGCAATCATCTTCAGTAGCCCACCCTGGGCTTAGGAGTCAAATAAGCAATGCTTGCTCACTTCTACAATTCTGACATTGCCATGAAAAAGATCTTCCTTCCCACATTCTTTTTTGCCATGGAAAGCCCAAAAGCCATCCTACAATGTGATGCTGAGCTAACTGTGAACCTCTTCACCCAGACTGCTTAAGGGGGTTTTCATTATGACAGCTAATAGCAGTGCCTTTTATTTTTGCTCTGATACATCCCCCCAGGAGTCATCAATGTGCCAGATAAAGGATTATACTCACAATTTTACATCATAGACTTGAGCTGGAAAAGAAAAAAGATATTTGTATCAATAACTTGCATTTAAATTCTTAAAAAAAAAAAATTCTTTATCTTCTTGGTTTAAGAAAATGACCTCTGAAGAGAGAACAAAAATAACAGCCTTGGATATCATGTCAGGTGGGTGATGACTCAGTTTCCCAGGATTCAGTCCAAGAAAACAAAACCAACCCAGCTATCACACAACTGGGTTATTTTGACCCAATGTCAAAGATAAAGTTGAAGCTAGAAACTAGAACTCCCCAGTTTCCCTATTCATTAGAAGTTCAAACAGTTTTGAAAGTGACTATTCTGGATGCCTTTAAAAAAATAAGGAGAAAAATAAGAAAAATGGCAAAAGAACTATTTGACAATTTTATTATTAATCGGTATCATGGAGTCATAAGAAGTTCATTAGGATAACAAAGGAGAAAATGAAGTTCTGTGGGATCTCAAACCCCACAGCACGCCTGTGTGCTCCCTGCACTGCCAGTGAGGAGGGGCCTCCCAGGAACTCTTGGTCAAGGGGATTTCTGGCGGCAGTGCAGGAGAGACAGAGGCATTCAGTGAATGGATCCTGTGACCAAAGACCAGAGAGGAAACAAATTCATATGGAATAGGGAGAACTGACAACGACCTCTTCCCTTCTGGGTGCCAACTACAGGAACTACTGAACAGCAACTGGTGCCAAAGGCACTTCCCAGCAGCAGGACAGGATGAACCCTCTGCCAGAGACTTTAAAGATTTGGAACAATGAGCCTGGCCAAGCAGGAGAGTCTGAGCCCTGGGATATCTGTGAGGAACAGTGAGAAACAACCATCCCAAAACTCTTTGGCAGAGCAAGCCACACACCTTGGGATGGGCTGCAGGGCAGGGGCTGAGCTGAGCTGCCCCAGGAGCCAGTAGAGGGATGAGAGGGGGCAGCTGAGGAGCACCAGGGCCACTGCTGCCCCAACCCCATGGCTGGTACCTGGAAGACCCTCCTGACTGCAAGGACTTCTCTGCCTCTTTGGACCTCCCACCATCTGTGTCATCTACTGCCTGCACAATGCAGGTGCCAGAGCTGCAGCTGGGGGCTGCAAGCTCTGCTCCAGGCCCCAAAACCCATCAAAGGAAAAGCCATGCTGGGCAAGTGCAAAACATTCAGGTTCTCCAGAACATTCTACTCACCGTCTTTGGGCTTTCTAAGGCAAGTGATAAGAGAGATGACAAGGAAAACCACAGCACCACACACCACAGCAATCAGGATGACCATGTACAGGGACAAGCCAGTCCTCTGGGAATCTAAAGCAATACAAGAGAGGATTTTCAGACAGAGGAGTCCTCCTGGGCAACAGCAACAGCAGGAACATGACATTTACCATGTCACTGAGGACAGTAACAGCCAGCCCTGCCTGAGCATGTGGGGCTGTGTCCCCACAGAGCCTTGGTCCTGTGGCTCTGAGTGGGTGCTGTGTGACCCAGCACTGTGTACACCTCACCAAGGGACCACAGCTGTGCAGACAGTGTCCATCTCATGCTGAGGTGACTAGGGATGTGAGCTAGGCAGGGTAATTGCACTGCATATCAGGAAATGAAGCTTTCCATTCCGGGGTGCTGCTCAGTTCTGTTTGGAAAGTGTCTAAACCTGTCCCAATGCTGCAAAGCTGGAGAATGTGTAGATCTGCTTGAGGCACACACTGAGGCTTTTCTGCTGTTTCACTTTTGACAGTCAAAGATAAAAATGGACCGACTGCTCAGGAACACAGCAACACATTAATGTGTGCCCCATATATCAACTTTTCTTTGTCATTCTTCCATAAAAACATCCAGAGCCTTTTGAAGTGTCACCAGGAATTGTCTGGGTCCTTTGAGAACAGATCTTAATGCAATTTGCAGCTAAAAAGGCAGAATACTAATTTTTACTACAGAGCATCTGGTTTGAGTCCTTAACCTTCTTCTCAGCTTGGTTTTGCTCTTGCTTACCACGAATTGTTTCATTCTTCCCTGGATGTCCAACACCACTCTCAGGAGTTGTTGCTGTTATGAGCAGATCTGGAAAACAAACATGAGTTAAAATCTGACAGTGCATTTCCAGCCCTCATTTTAGCACTAGGAGATCTGGGATTCGAGCTGCAGGATCAGAAGAGAACGCCTCCAGCCCCTCTACAAAGCAGTGAAAACAGGAAAACTGCAGAAATGAGCACTATATATATGCTATATTATAGGGAGAGTCCATGTAGTACCATATAGTTACTGGCTGGATACTATATATAGTATAAATACATACAAACAAACTACATAGACACACAGCAGGTACCTGTGTGCATTTGTATGTCTGTGCACACACACCTGCAGTAGTGGTGGGGCCCCATGGAGTCCAGGAGATTCCTGAGGTACCTCCAGACACCAGCTCTGTTTGAAGCTTTTCTGCAAGAACAATCAACACCTGTCAGCATCTTCCCTCAGCCTCCAGTGACTGACACCAGCTTCCACAATACCCATGTGATTGCTGGGGCACCATAAATCCAAAAGAGGTATAATCCAACCATAGAAAGTTTCTGCATGCAGACCTGCTCTAGTCCAGGCAAAAATCCCCACATCCCACAAAAAACAAATGGGAAACCACAAGCCCTCCCTCAAAACTGCTGTTCCTGGTCAAGTATGTGTTTTCAGTAGGGTCTGAGGAAGCTTTTGCATCCCTTGTGTCTGCTACAGGAGACACCAGATCTGCCTCCCCTAAGCAGCCTCCACTCAGGATCAGATAACAAGCAAAAAAACCCTTTAGAGAAGAACCAAACCCAGAACATCCCATCACATATGAACTGCAATTTAGGAAATAGCAATTTCAGCAGTCCTAAGACATGTACGATTCTCTTCTACAAAGAGCAACATATAAACCCTCTGTTGACTGGAAACTGAGGGAAGGAAGATGTTTCAGAACCATCTGAGTTAAAACCTGAGGCATATGGTCTGAAGTTCAGTAATGTTAAAACTCTGTTCCCCAGCAATAAAACCACTTCCAAGCACAGGCATCACACGGCCCCAACACCCCATCCTTGCCAGCAGCTGTCACAGCTCTTACACTGACCAGTGGTTGAGTGGTGTCCCTCTGTGGTTCCCCTGCTCATCTGCAAGGCCGCTGTTGTGGCGGGCAGATCTGCAAGGTTAGAGGGAGGAGAGGCTTACACAGGGGTTTGACCACCATGGTGATGCTGCTGTGGTCCAGAATTCCCCACAGGTGGGAGCAGGAGGAAGCAGCCCCCTCCCAGCTGACAGCAGGGGGATGCTGTGCCAGCAGAGTCAGGCAGCACCTGCAGCACTGAGCCCTGTTCCCCTGCTGCTCCCTCCCGTGTGGGACTGCTGGGAAAAGCACCACAGGGCTTCAGCCAGAGCTCTGTGCCTGGGAGCTCAGCGAGCTCTGCCTCTTTCACAGGCCACTGTGTGGTGCCTGTGCTTGGCTCTGCCCTCAGGGGCATCACAGCTGTGCTGAGCCAGTAACCAGGCAAGGAGAGATGCAAGTTTTCCACCAGGCACCCCTCATGGAATTGTTTAGACTGAAAAATACCCGTGAGGCCTTTGAGTCCAACCTGTCCCACACCAGTGCTGCAGAGCCTGGCGGTGTCAGAGCCTGGCGGTGTCAGAGCCTGGCGGTGTCAGAGCCTGGCGTGTGTGGGCTGCAGTGTGTCTCAGTGTGTCTCCTGAGACACGCAGCTGGTGGTGGGGAGCAAAGGCCAGTCTGGATTGTTCTGCCACTGAATTACCACTCACTTGTTCCTTGTTCTCAAAATAAAGCCCCGACCGACTCCTTGTCTAAACTTGCTGACCTGCGGCAGGCAGCCTTACAGGGAGAACTTCAGAAAACCCACAGAGGAATAAATAAAAAGGAATGTTTGAAGTAGAAATCCTCTTTTGCATCAGAAAAGAGCAGTTCCTGAAAGAGGAGGAAACGGACCGGAGGAAATAGAGAAGGACACAGAGCGGAGCCAGCGGGGAGGGCTGTGTGCGAGTGCTGAAGGCGTTTGGCATTTCCTTCTTCGCGGGCAGGGAAGGAGGATGCTGCTGTTTGCCCTGCAGAGGGATTTCTCCGGGGGCCGTGCCGCGGCTCTCACCTGTCACCGTCAGCTGCACAGCATCGCTGCGCTGCACGGCGCCGGCCCCGGCCCTGTTCTGCGCCTCGCAGAAGTACGTGCCGCTGTCCGAGGGCCGCAGGCTGGGCCAGGCCAGCTCAGCCCCGCTGCTCAGGAGCTCGGCCGTGCCCGCCGCGGCGCCGCGGAACCAGCGGTAGCTGATGGGAGGGGACCCGCCGGCCTCGCAGGTCAGGCTGGCGCTGGCCCCGGCCGGCAGCGTCAGCCCCGGCTCCGCAGCTCGGATGATGGGCTTGGTGGCTGCCACTGGAAGACAAAGCACAGGGGCCCAGGTCACGGAGGGCTGGCTCTGCTGGGGACGGTCCCCCCGGCACAGCAGTTCTCGCTCTTGCTGTCGGTGCCTTCCCGGAGGAAGGAGCTCGTCTCCCACATCACCTCCCTGCACAGGCTGAGCTGAGCTGCGCCGCACATGGGTCCTGCAGCCTCTGTAAACCTCCCACACCGGGCAGACAGAGTGCAAACACGTGCTGGTGAGGTTTAGTCAAAGAACAGCAATGCAGTATCCCCACTGTTGCCTGCCACTGGGAAACACTGACCCTATGGCTACAGATGGAGCCTGGGGTGAACTGGTCCTTGAGGAGCCACAGGTCCTCCCCGAGCTGCAGGGTGCTGTGTCCTGGGTAGAATTTCTCTCTGACCTATTTGCTGTTTCTTGCTGGAGGCTGAAATTGTTCAGAAAAAAGCTTCTGCGTGCAAGCACACAGTCACTGCCTACCTGCTCTGTCTAATTCCCAAAAGCCTTCCCTTCCTGAACAGCCTCCTTCATCGATTTACCTTTAACAACCTCCAAACTGGTGGTGATCTCCTTTGCTATCAAGCTGTTGTTGCTGTCTCTCCAGGTGACCTGGCAGGTGTAGGTCCCTCTGTCAGAGATCTCCAGGCTCAGGATGAGGAGAGACACATTTCCTGGGGCATCCTTTGGGATGCTGACTCTGTTCCTGTACTCAGACAGGAGAACATGGTCCCCGGCGTCATCCCTCCGAAAGATGGTGCCTGAACCCTTGTTATGTACCACAGTCCAGGTGAGGGTTTGCTGCACAAGGTCCTCCACTGGCACATAGGCACAAGGCAGAGTGATAGACTCCTTCCAGACCCCCTTGACCTCACTGGGGCCACTCAGGTCCAGAAAAGCTGCAGAAAGAAAGGAAGATGAAAGTTAAGCCACAGAACAGCCAGGGTGAAGGCAGGTCACAGGTGGTGAAGCCATGGCAAGAGCATTGGCAAAGAGAACCCACCAGGTGAGAAACACAGCAGTGGGGAGTGTGAGGGTTGGGCTGCTCAGGGGTGAGTTATCCAAAAATCAGTGTGGCATGAAGACGGGAGGTGGCTGATGGCCAGGGTGCAGCCTGATGCTTTCCTGCCACCACCAGCACTGAGTAGAGCACAGGATCAGAGTTATTGGATAACTTAGGCTTGATGCAGCAAATGTCTGCTCCAGACATCCCCTTGGGGCTTCTGAGGAACAGCAAAGACTTCCCTCCTCCACTGCCAATTTTGTTTTTCTGAAACACACCATTCTCTCAGCCTAAGCCAAACACGAAAAACTTAAACCACTGGGTAAAGAAACTGAAAACTCTTTTCCTGTAAAAATTGCCATTGTCCCAGTACATTTCTCTCACTCTGAGAACTAAACACTTCCCAAAACAGAGTCACCCCTGCCAAGCACACGCAGACACTGCAGGGCAGGGGCCGTGCCCAGCCCAGACTCACCGCTGCAGTGGAGAAGGGAACCCAGGAGCACGGCTGCTCGCAGCACCATTCCCATCCTTCCTTCACGGCTGCCCCCTCTCCAGCCGGACTGACCCGCTTTTCCCAAGCTGGGGTAAATCAGGAACACTTCCCTGCCTGGGTTCACTCTGTCACCAAGCATCCGGGACAACGGCTGGTGGTTTTTCCTTCCTCTTTATCAGAAAACAAGTCTCTCAGAGACCACTGGCAGAGGCGTGGGCAGACCGGAAATCCTAAGGAAGGGTGCAAAGAGGAAAGTGTAAAAATTACTTCTGTGTTATTTGGTATTTTCTGCTGAGTACGTTTGTCCCCCTTCTGTTTTTTAATTTTTTTTCCTTTATTTCTTTTGATTCCTAGGCAACCATTTCTTCATCTATTCAGCCTCGTGTTGCTTGCTGACAAATGAGCTTTACCATGCAATTACACACACACAGGTCTGAGAGAAAACTCACAAGGAGTCAAACCACTTAGGTCCTCATAATTCACTTTCTCACTGGCTTCTATGAAACCCACCACTTTGCTTTAAGTTAAGGTTCATGAAACCCCTTAAATCTTTACATTACCAGTGCAAGACTGGTGATTGTTGTAGGCCTCTTCCAACTGAAATATTCTATATCACTCTATCACATCTAAGAGAGGATGAATTCAAGTATACAAACCTAAAGTAAAAAATTTCCCAAGAGTCGCAGATACCTACAACCCTCCTTTATCTCACAGACAGATCCTCCCTTCTCACAAAGCAATTTAGCTGCTTGGTTTAATTGATTAATTGTTTTCAATTACAAGCCCTAATTGGGGCCATACATTCCTCTGGTGCCTTCAGACTACTTGGGAACAGGTGAACATGGAAATGCCCAGAGAGAAAAAGAAAAACTTGTCACAGTAGAAAATCTTTGAGACCATGAAATAATGGTTTCTTTACTGTAATGATATATTACTATTCATGTAATGTGATAGTTAATCTCCATAATTCAATAACTGAGCACTAGTTTTGTCTAAGAGAAGAATCTGTTTTCTACTGAAATATCCCTTTCAAGGGATTTTACTGCCTTTTGCTGTTTTCTTCTGCTCCAGTAAAAGAATCTCTTCTGCTTCCTTGCATCCAGTTGAACTGAAATGAGCCTTTGCTGTTGTTACACTCAAATTCAACATCCTGTCCTCAAATACAAGTAATCAGACTAATTCAATGCAGCCAACCAAATCCCAGTCCCTGGTGTGGACACAGCCCTCCTGTAGTGCCAGTGAGACATGGTTTGGGTCTGTAGTGGCACAGCGGGATCCTCCCTTGTGGACCTGTATTCCTCCATCAGACATTTCCCATGAGATGCCACTCCAGCCTGCAGCCACTGGACAGGGAGAAGCAGCAGAAGCTGCTGTGGGCTGCAGTGTTCAGGCACTTCTTGGTTTTATGAAGGAAAAGGCCACGTTAAGTAAGGTCAAATAATTTGAACTCCTTTGCTGGGAACAGAGCTTGCTGGAGGAGGGTAGAAGCCTATGTTGTCTGGAACTAAGTAGAAGACACTGGTTTGGCTGGGGTAGGGTTGTCTTCACAGTAGCTAATATGGGGTTATGTTTTGCATTTGTGCTGAGCACAAGGTTGACAATATAGAGATGTTTTTGTTATTGTTGATCAGTGTTTACATGGAGCCAAGGCCACACTGGTGAGGGGGCTGGGGGTACAGGGGAGATGGAGAGGGGACACAGCAAGGACAGGTGACCCCAACTGACCCTGCCACATGACATCACACTCGGTGTAGAAAGCTGGGGGGGGAGGAGGAGGGAGATTTGGAGTGATGGTGTTCATCTTCCCAAGTCACCATTACCCATGATGGGCTCTGCTCTCCCGGAGGTGGCTGAACACCTGCCTGCCCCTGGGAAGCAATGAATGAATCCTTTGTTTTTCCTTGCTTGTGTGCCAGCTTTTGCTTTCACGATTAATGTGTCTTTATCTCAACCCAAGAATTTTCCAGCTTTTACCTTTCCAATTCTCTCCACAGTCCCACTGATGGGAGAGTGAGCGAGTGGCTGCGTGTGAAAACACAATAGGAACCAACCAGGAAGCTGAAACTCAAACTGTGTGACTAAAAAAGGTGTGTAGGTATTTTTCATGTATTTACATTTACCCTGTTGGCTGGGGGAACAGTGGCTGGATAAGCTTTACCCTTTAGAAAATGCAGTGCCAGGCACCTGTAGCTAAGGTGACTGTGGCAGCAACCCCTTGGTTCTGCTTTGGGCATCTGTGATACCATCATGCTGCTTTTCAAAACGAGAATCTTGTTTTAGGAGACAGCAAAACATTCTGAGCATGGATGGATGAGGTGGCATCACACAGCCCAGAAGAAAACAGAGCAAAATCAGTCTTTCTTGTATTCTGGAAAGCTGTTAGCAAGTATAGAGTAGATATGAACTGATGGCAAGGCTCCCACGGTTGGTGTGAGGAGGGCTGGGCTGGAACAGTGCAAAAGATCTGAAAGGAGCATGCAAGAGGAACTTGGCACTTTCTCAGTCTGCACTCGCCGTGCCTGGGAGCGTTCTGTGGATTCCTTGCACACAAATGATAAGGGAGAGCAATCTTTCCTCCCCAGACACAGAGTGATAAAGCTGAGGAGCCAGGCAGCAGCCATGTGTGCTGATGCTGAAGGAAGGAAGCTGCTGCTACAGCGAGGCCCTGCGGTCATGGGTAACAAACTGGTGACAGTAGCCCCACCCAGGCTGGCACATGGGGGCTCAGTGCCTGGCCACTGGCCCTTGGGCACAGGCTGGGCAGGAGGTGCACTGGGCTGCAGATTCAGCCAGCTTGTCATAGTCTGTCCATAGCTCCACATGCCAACTCCACTGCCGTGGCCTTGTCCTTATCCTGAAGAGCAGCATGTTCTGTAGAAAGATCCTTTTTCTTGGCAGTGGAAATGATCAACAGTTCCTTACTTCTAGGAAAATCTCACAAAACCTGTAATGCTTGTGGTGCCAGTTACCCTGGGCACGGTCTGCACAGGGGTGCCAGATCTGGGGTCTGCCTGATGCTACAGATGATCTGGGCTGTTCCATTTCCTTATGTTATCTCCAGTGAATATTTTAATCCACACCTTATGGAGCCGAGGGCCTTTCCTACTGGGGGTCTATGGAGAACATGTGCACTACATCTGGTGTTATTTTTAGTATACATGGTATTTTGAGCTTTCACATCAACTCTTTTGAAAAACCAGTCCCAGGTGCTGTTCTCCCACGCTCTGGAAACAGACACCAGCTGCATCATGAGACCACACTCCAAGTGCATGAAAAAGTCTTAATTCTGCAAAAAATCGGTAAACAGGTTTGGGAAACATTGACACAGACAGGAACACACACAAAGAATGTACAAGAAACACAGTAATCTTTTTGCAATTCTTGAGTTTAATTACTTCAGCATGTGGGTTTTTTTGTTATTCAGTCTTCCCCTTTCCATTGCAATCTTTCTTAGGAAAGTTGCACAAATACTTTTCCCGGACCTGTACATAAATCAGACACACAGCTATACAAACTTTTTTTTTTTTTTTGCAATTTTTCTAAGCCTTGGTTTCTTAACTTCTTAAGAGAGAAAGTGTATTAAAAACCCATGATGCACTCAGACCCAATACCTGACAGTGAGCTGCGCTGAGGGGAGATGACTCTGAGACAGAGGAACATGACACTAATCCACCACAGAAATTACAGTCCAGCCAGCGTGGGGAGTCAGAGGCACAGAACTCACAAAGAACTCTGTTGTCTGCATGGTGCTGTCAACCAGCACACCAGAAAAGCCTGTTTTTCACCGATTCACTCTTGGCAAAACTGTAGCCTTTGGGAACGAATTAACAAACCAAACCTGACCTGCGACAGATGCAACATGCTTACCTCCCCCTCTCCCTTCAGCTCATGAAAACTTGAGACTATTCAGCCCTTGACCTAAACAAGTCAGTGAAAGAGACTCTGAAGGCTTGAATAAGACAAACTTGGCAAAAAGCAATTCAAAAGATGGAAATGAGAAGGGTCATGTGGTAAGAACAGGTACAGAAGCACAGAAATAAAATGACTCTGAAGGTGTTACACACTCAGGAGCAGGACCTTCCTCTGCAACTCAGAGACTGGACAGTGAAGCACAAATCCAATGAAGTTGGGCCAGTACAGGTAACATGCATTATCTAGCAGGCTTCAGAATATCTACCTTGGATGCTCGAACATAAAAGAGCTCAGCACTTATTAGTTCAGGAACGTAAGAGAGAACAAAGCCTGCAGGTAGCCTGAATTCCTAAAACTGGAAAAAATGTAAAGTAACTGTGCTGGCAGGAAATATCAGGTGGTATTATCCAAGGGGGTTTCTACCTGCATCCAAGCCTTTGGCAGCCCCAGCAGTTTGCTGTCACTTCAGCACATAGCAGGTTTGTGTGGGCTGGTGAAGCTGTTGACATGCTTGGTACCAGCACACAACTTGCTGCTCCACTGGCACCAGGGCTGGGTTCCACAGTGCAGCTGTTCAGAGAACTTGGGAAACAGTGCCAAAAGAAACTTTGGGGAACAACTTTTTGGTGAAGTAGACACTTGTTTATGTAATTCATTGTCAAAAGACTCAGATGCATCTGGTTGATTTGGCTTTAAGATTCCACGGGCAGAAACTGCAGCGTGAAACCCGGTGTCCATAGAGGGGCAGGGAACAACAGCTGCTACCAGCTCAGAGACACCTTAATGTGAGTCAGTGCAAGGCACTCCAGGGCTCCCCTTCTCATTTTAGGGACAGCTGCTAGCCTTTGCTAAACATGAATCAGTCCTACTGACTATCTCCAAGGACACATGACCTGTGAACTGGGGGCAGGTTACCCCGGAACTGCCATGCAATGTGCATGAGAAATCAGCACTACACAGGAGGGCAAGCACTTCCTACCACAACTCCTACAATCCAGGGCAATGGATGTGTGCTAGCATGTTAAAAAATAATACTCCACAGTTAAATGTCATTTTCCATAGGAAAAATGTTCCCTAAACCTAGGAGCAAATCTAGGAGTATGAAAGTAATCTAAGCAGATGCAAACAATCGTAGCCAGTAACAATCAAAAAAGAAATCTCAAATTAAAAACAAAATGTAAAAACAATTTCAAAAAGTAGGCAAGCCACCTATTGAAGCAGACTCTC